CACACCACGGCGCGTGCGCACACACAGCTTTTATCCACACGTTATTATGCTAGTTGTTGAGCCCTCATGTTTACAAGTGCCCTATTTTTCCCATGCGAATCGCTCTTTGACAGTGACGTACACGTCGGCGGGAGTGGACGTGTGGAAGCTATGGCATACTCATGTGGGGAGGTGTTCCGCACCTGGCATGTGCCCTACCGGGCATGAGCCACGAACTCGCGCGCGACTTCATAGAGAAAGGTAAGTTATTCCACGCCCCCCAGCCCTGTGTGCGCGTGCGATCGCGCGCTAGAGAAACAATAGCCACTTAGTAACGATAACAGACTCTTTGTTTCACAGGCTTCTTCGTGGTAGTAGCAAATTACGGCTATATATATATATATCGATATTATATCGATATGTGGTGCGACGTTCTGTGGCTCGAATCGATCCGAATCTATCAATCGTGATTGATCTCGTGTCTATGTGAAGCGGGCCGGGTGAAGTGCGAAGCCATGTTAAATTATCTAGTGACGAATTTTTGATTGTGATAGTATTATTTTGTAAAAAAAACGGTTCTTTTTGCGATTTTTTTATTTAACAAGTACAGTTACTAACTGGACTAAATGGTATCGTCAAGATTCTTACCCTGATAAGACTGTTTCTACAAACTAGTTAACAAAATCAAAAAACCTGAAGATGATTTCGTATTTTGATGCCTGTATATAAGCCACGCACTATGAGATCAAACGCTTAATTTCTCCAATTTACTAGCTAGCATACTTCGTGTCATGCATAATCACATACCTTATGGCAAAATAACTCTAAGTTCCTCCCATTTCACTAAGACGCGTTTGCTTAAAAACACACAGAAAGAGAGTGGCGAAATCTGGTAATCTGGCGCCAACGCCGACTGTTTGCCAACATTTAAGCGCCTCATAGCGGTTAGGTGACGTCACATGTTTTTATCTTTGCTACAGACCGATACTGCCTGTATATACTGGCAGCACCGCTGTCGCGAGTGCTTGCCAGAAGCAAACGCGACAGACTGTCAACAACATCGGAGAATTTGCAACAACATTGGAGTATTTTCAAATGCATTTTATTAGCGCGTCAGTTGATGGGGTAGCGAACTAGGTTGGGGTTGAAGTATTTGATAGTCTCAGTACTGGAGACAATTAGCGTGTAGATTGCGCACTAGAATCGCGGCTTTAATTGCCTTGCTTAATGGGCTGATGTATGGGTCAGCGGGTGTTTGTTATCATGTTTACATCGAACGAAATGATAATAAAATAGGAAGATATAATGCAGGCAAATTTTAACCATAAAAGTAAGCAGAATTGACTTAACACTTTTTGTTAGGTAAAGTGGAAATAATTTTTTTACTTTTACTATTTACGATGACGTAATCACTAATTCTTCTGCTCGTCCTCCGCGGCGGCGGCGCAGGTAAGCGACTGACGCCGATGAATGAGAACATGCCGGAGCCGGTGTGCGCGCTGATGCAGTCCTGCTGGAAGGCAGACCCGGAGAAGCGGCCGCACTTCAGTGAGATACGACTGAAACTGCAGGAGCTGAAGAAGAAGTGCTTTCGTGCGTCCAAGACTGGGACCACGGTAGCCGTCACAACGTGAGCACAGCCCACGTGAGAGCACAAACAGCAGCAGTAGCAACAGTAGCAACCGTGAGAGCAGAAACCGAGCACGTTAGGAACAGTACACGTGAGAGCAGAACACTGCGGCGGAGTCAACAACAGTTAGCAACCAGTAACAACGTGAGAGCAAGAAACAGGCAGCCCAAAGTACAACAGATAGCAACAAGTAACACGTGAGGCAGAAACAGCAGCAGTTAGAACAGTTTAACACGTGAGAAGCAGAAACGGGAGCAGTTAAGCAACAGTAAGCTACGAGTAACAACCGTCGAGAGCAGAAAACAGAGCTGCAGTAGCCACAAGTAAACCAAGTTCGGGAGCAGAAACGAGCAGCAGTAACAAACACAGTAGCAACCAGTTAACAACGTTCGAGAGCAGAAAACAGCAGCCAGGTCCAAACAACAGTAGCAACCCAGTAACAACGTACTGGACGAGCAAGAAAACAGCGCCAAGTATGACAGTAACAACCCGTGAGACGCAGAAACAGAGCGTAGCAACCAGTAGAACGTGAGCAGCAAACACAGCACAGTAGCTACAGTAACAAGTGGAGAGCAAAAGCAGCAGCGAGTAGCACAGTACACAATGTGAGAGCAGAAACCGCAGCAGTTTAACAACACAGTTACAGTGAGCGCCAGAAACAGCAGCAATAGCAACAGTAACAAGGGCGTGAGAGCAGAAAACAGGCAGAGTAGCTACGCAGTACAAGTAGAGAGCAGAAACTCAACAGTAGAACAGTACACGTAGAGAGCAGAAACGAGCAGCCAGTACGCAACAGTAACAACGTGGAGGCAGAACAGCAGCAGTCAACAACCAGTAACAACGTCGGGAAGGCAGAAACAGCAAGCAGTAGGCAACAGGTAACAACGTTGAGGCGAAACAGCAGCGAGTAGCAACCAGTAAACAAGTACAACGTTTTAGAGAGCAGAAAACAGCAGCAGCTAGCAACCAGGTAACGTGAGAGCGAACAGCAGCCAGTAGACAGTAACAAATCGTGAGAGCAGAAACAGCAGCGTATTCAACAGTTTAGCAACGTGAGGAGCAGAAACATAGTCCAGTAGCAAACAGTAACGCGTGAGAGCAAGAAACAGCAGCAGATACAACAGTAACAACGTGGAGAGCAGAAACAGCACAGCAGTCGTAGCAACAAGTAAACGTGATGAAGCAGACAACAGCAGCAGTTACGCAACAAGGTAACGACGTGGAGTCGGAACAGCAGCATGTAGCCAACAGTAGCAAGTGAAGCAGAAACAGCAGCAGTAAGCAACCAGTAGCAACAGTAACAACGTGAGAGCAGAAACAGCAGCAGTAGCAACAGTAACAACGTGAGAGCAGAACAGCAGCAGCAGCAAGTAACATCAGTAACGAATCGCGTGAGAGCTCAGAAAACCAGCAACAGTACGCACACAGAACAAAGTGAGGGAGGCAGAAACAGCAGCAGTAGCAACAGTAACAACGTGAGAGCAGAAACGCAGCAGTAGCAACAGTAACAACGTGAGACAGAAACAGCACAGTAGCAACAGTAACAACGGAGAGCAGAAACAGCAGAGTAGCAACAGTAACAACAGTAACAACGTGTCGAGAGCAGAAACAGCAGCAGTAGCAACAGTAACAACGTGAGAGCAGAAACAGCAGCAGTAGCAACAGTAACAACGTGAGAGCAGAAACAGCAGCAGTAGCAACAGTAACAACCGTGGAGAGCAGAACCAGCAACAGTAACACCTAGTACAAACGTCGAGAGCCAGAACAAGCAGCAGTAGCAGTAACAAACGTGATGAGCTAGAAACGCAGCAGTACAACAGTAACAACGTAGAGGCAGAAACGGCAGCAGTAGCACTAAGTTCGGAAGTGAAGACGCAGAAACAGCAGCAGTTAGGCAACAGATCAACACAGCGTGAGAGCAGAACAGAGCAGTAGCAACAGTCACAACGTGAGAGCAGAAACAGCAGCAGTAGCAAAACAAGTAGCAACGAGGTAACAGCAGTGGGGGCAAGGCAGAAACAGCAAGCAGTAGCAACAGTAACAACGTGAGAGCAGAAACAGCAGCAGTAGCAACAGTAACAACGTGAGAGCAGAAACAGCAGCAGTAGCAACAGTAACAACAGTAACAACGTGAGAGCAGAAACAGCAGCAGTAGCAACAGTAACAACGTGAGAGCAGAAACAGCAACAGTACCAACACGGTTGAAGCAGTTGCTTGATATACAGTTGCTGGAAGGACGTCAGTAAATATGACTTCATAGCCACAGATTATGTATAGAAGTGACTAATTTATTCCCGCATGATTTGTATTTATTTTTCGACGCTCGTGAAGATTGACGGTTGTGAATGATGTGATGGTTGTGAGAGTGTGCGCGCGCGTTGGGCGGTTTGTACAGAGCATTGTTTTATGGAAGACAAAAGTGATACGCATGCACATGGCAAGCTACCGGGCCGCCCTGGTGAGACGTGCGCGAACTATTCCGAGTGTATGTTATAATATTGTGTGTATATTCATACTATATTGAGACGCGTGTTATTTGTGAGAAGGATTTCATCAGGAGTATTAACGATTGACAGAAATAGCGTCTGTTATAAGAATAAGAAGAACCTAGCAGTAGTGTGCTCTTGATTTTATGCTCATGATAGTCAGTTATGAGTGACAGGCTGGATGGAAACATTGATTCTTGGCTTTTGTAAGATTTCTGCTCGTGAACTTTAAACGTTTATATCTACATGTGTTTTATACATGTATGTGTGTTATGTACATGTGTTTATATATAAATCGATGGTGGCACGCATGCGTCGTCGGTAGGTCGATGGTGCTGCCCCGTAGCGTGATTCTCGCACACCACAGTGCTTACAGCCGACTTCACCTATGATTGTGCAAATACGGTTGTGTTGTCGGCAAAAGTTTTCGTCTTCTCCCTGGCCCACGCGTGTGTAAGTAATGTGTAGCATAGCTCCACCTGAGTACATAATTACACATGAGCGCGCAAATACGTGGCCAGGGGGGGGCAGTATAGGCTTCCAGGGGGCGATGACCAGAATGGTCTTGACGGCTGTGATCGGATGTTGTCAAATTACGAATAAACAAAAGGCCTGAAGGAACGAAGGGCATTACAGACATTGAGGCGGACAGGACATTGAGGCGGACATGGAAGCGGACAGGACAGGCATACAGGCATTGAAGTATTCTCATCCGCTCACAGTCTGGCATTTTCGAATTACGGTAGATGCGTGACACGTGATACTCCCATCGCTGAATGTAAATTAAAGCTGGCCGCGCGCGAGCCGCCTCGGCATTGTAAGGTGGATACCGGAGCCGGCTCGGTCGTCTGCGATATGCGATTCTGAGATCAGTTCTTAGCGAGGAGCGTGAAGTAAGATAAGGATGGGGTAGTTAAGGTGTTACACACTACACTAGTGTGGCACACTACCACGGAACGCGGCGCCAAGCCATCCCGGACGTCGTCGTCACGTCGGTAGGCGCGGGCGGTTACAGCAAAATGATTGAGGCAGTCGCGTTCGCTTTTAGTTCTTACTGACTACGTAGGTCATTGAGAATCATTGTGAGTTCACCCGCAGGTAGTGCTGTGGCC